AGGGGGGGGAGGGGGGAAAAATGAGAAAAATGGGATAAAACGCGCATAAAAAAAACTAAGGGGAAAATGAGAAAAGTGATCATCAAATTTTTAGGTATGGTCCTTACGAACCGAATGATATGCGTTTCGATGTTGTAGGATGATATTTGTAGGAGGAGATAGATTTTCTGAAGTACCCCTTTTTAGCCGTTTTCTATTAATTTCACGTTTTCTATCAATTTTTTTGAAAAATTCATGGAAGCAAAATGTTCTTATTTTTACATTTTACGTATGTATGTGAAGTTTCATGATGATCGGATAATAACTGTAGAAGTTTTTCCGGAGGGTAGCCGGTCCCCTTAACCTAATCACTGTTGGAGGTGGAATATATCTACGTTTTAAGCTGCAACAAGAGCTGTCCTGCCATTTTTGGAGCTGCAAAATTCTTGTAAAATGAATCGACTCCAATCTTATTTTTAACTCAAGTGCACAATTAGGCTGCAAGATTCCAAATATTTCAAAAAAATTTCATTTCTGAGTTGCAAGATTTCTAGAAAAAGTAGAAACATCCCAATCATGTTCACAGGGTCCTCAACTTTTTTCTACAGTAAAAGTAAGAAAAATTAGTTTTGCCTTATATTTTCAAAAATGAATACAGAATCGACATTTTATACCAAAAATTGTTGGAAAATACTGCCTTATATTCCATATTTGCTTGCTCTTACCCCTCAATCTCCAAGCCTTGGTCCAAGATAACTCTTGTATTAATCTGAGGCAATCATGGGCTACAATTATGATTCATAGTAACAAATGTAGTTAAGCACACAAACCAGGTGCGGTTCACAACAAAGCTACCAAAATGGTGGACAGGCAGATTTTTGCTTCCCCAAAGTCCCATCCAACTGGCAGCTTAATTTGACTGGCTTGCCTTTGAAAACTAACTAAAAAAACTAATTATGATATCATATTGTTTTTCTGTCATCTACTTGCCTGGCTGGGATACACAAAGGGGGCCACTTTGTGCTAAAAATAAACTTTGATATCATATTGGGCTATTTATGAAAGATAATAGGAAATGAAGCTAGTGATTCTTAGAGCACGCTCTCTGAATTTCAGAGCTTGGCAGCTAGTTGTACAGTAATGTTGTGAGTATTGTTTTATGAAATACCTTTCCTTCTTTTCATTTACAATGGTAGAGGTTCCAAAAAAGACAAATTTTGAGTCCAATGCTCATGATGCACTTGCATGGCAATAGCAGGACCACGGTCCACATTGTTGCGCATTAGTGATTCAGTGATGTGAGAGTGACATTCCAGTTCCCATTTTGGTTATATTTCAAAGTTTAGGAGTTTATTGCGTTTAGACATCGTTACAATAGACATCGTTACATGAACTTGTTTGCTTGCACCTATCTCTTTGTCTACTTACTAGGGAAATTTGTCAATGTCAAGTGGCCTAGGTACTATTAGTAGTGGCCCTAGGCTACTGTACCTGTACTGTTCTAGGGTACTATTAGTAGCCTAGGGCCTAGCCCTGGGCTACTAATAGTTTGTGTTAAAAAATTACGATATCATATTGGACTGTTAATAAAAGATAGTAGGAAATCAAGCTAACAGTTTTTAGAGAATGCTTTAAATTTCAGAGCTCTGCCAAATGCCAAAACCAGGGTACAGAGGGTGCAAGCAGCGTTGCCAATATATGGTTTTTTAGCCCAAATCATCACCAGCCATTTTTAAGACCCGTAACCGGGTAATTTTTAATAAGAAAGTACTGCAAGTAACTTTGATAGTATATCCCTTACTATCCACGCACCACAACTACTTTCCGCCAAGCTTCACTGCATCCTGAATCCTTCCGGGTTCCGGCATACCAGAAACCTTACTGTGTGCGCTTGCGGTCTTCCAGATTTCCAGTAATTTTGAAGTTATTTCTCATATGCAATAATTTCAATCCAAATGTGTCGGCAAGACCTTCAGAAGGCGTAAATTTTGCTACAGATGCGTCGCCAAATATCTTTTGATATTCACCCACTTTCTGCAGTCTGCACAGTGGTGCCAACTGCCGACAGTCGTGCAGTGATGGAAGTTGCAAAAAGATGAGTCCAATGCTTGTGTGAAACTGTGAATGGCAGCGGCAATGGCTTTTGGTGATACAGTAGTAACAGTACTACTAGTAATACTGTAATAGTATTAAGAATTTCTCATGATTATGAACTATTTATTTTTATTATTATTAAATCAATATTATTTTTAATTCATCATTTAATGCATCAGTCATTAAATCATTATTAATTCAACATTAATTTGTCATTAAGGTATCTGACACCTTTTTATGTTTGACATTTATTTGTCATTTGTTGGTTGTTAATTTGTAGTTCTCCATCCATTTGTCCTTTATTTATCATTTGTTTTAACATGCCAAAACAATGAAATTGGAATTTATTCTCTTCAATTCTACCTTTTAGTGAATTTACAGGCAGCATAACTATCAGTCTATCAGTCAGACAGTCACACACATTTCCTGGGCCCTCGGGCGGCCGGGCCAGTGACCTTACGCGGTACGCCCCACCCACCTGCAGTCAATGAGTCAAAGACTAAAGTTTCAACCAAACATTTATTTTAGTTAGAATAGAATCAATAGGCTAGATAGCCTACAAGAACTAGCTAGAAGAGCTTTCTAATGGTGCTAGGCCTAGACAGCTAGACTGAGTACTGAGTAGACTACAATATTTGTTTCACTTAGTAATATGTAGACATTTTTTCTTAATTTCTTCCTTACTCAGTTATGTTTTTATCAAGCAATTTATTTTAACATAGACTCATAGTGACAAACCAGAAATGTTTTAGAAAAAGTTCATTTTCATTTTCCTGATCTACTCAAAAGTTAAACCAACATTGTATGTTTGATATTACTGGTAGACGGTAGTGGTATCCAAGATACTTTGCTGGTCTACTTTTAGTTTTAGGAATTGAACTTGAAGAAGTCTAAAAAACTCTCTGCTTTGCCATGAAGCTAATGTCTGAAACTGGCTCTGTTGATTTCACTAGCTTCGACCTCAGTCAAATCTAGCGGCTTGATTAGGTACCTAGGTAATCAAATTGTCTAGAAATAAAAAGGAATTATTGTGAACAATGCTTAGAGATGCTCGGCAATAGAATAAAATACAATATTACCCAACTTATTGCTTTACCAGGCTATAAATTCATTTGCTCCTACGAATTACATTTTAAAAATGGACTTGACTATACATGTTTACCTATCAGGATGTCCACCGCCACTTTCATATTTAGCGGGAAGATGGCAACGTCGAATGCTCATCTTCGTGCACTTGCACCATATGTGAGGCGCAGGATTCTCGCTAAGACATAAGACTGATGTATTTAGAAATAATGGCCATTAAGAAATCAAATAATCACATGGCTGACTATTTATTTAACTTAACAAAAGGTACAGTAAAAGTATACTCTACCTTTATTTTTGGTATTCGAATGTGTGACTAACGAATTTTGTATATAGAACCTGTCTCTTATACACATCTAGATGTGTATAAGAGACAGGCACGGGACTTTGTCGCGCTGTCCTGAAAAGTTCAACTTATTGTCACGGAAAACCTATCTCCTCCTACAGTTTTCAAGCTACAGCAATGAGNTGTATCTGTCTCTTATACACATCTAGATGTGTATAAGAGACAGAATCATACCTGCCCAGTTTCGCAATGCTTCACGATTCTTTAACTATGAAAACATTTTCAGGTCGTAAAATCCCGGAGATATTGTCATTGTAGAAAAGTGTCCAAACAGCGTCACACTGCAAATAAATTCAGGGTGCCTTGGTTCAAACACTCATACAAACTTTGTAATATGTATAAGAGATCAAATTTTGCAGTTGTTTTGTCGTCAAGTCTCAGTAATGGCAGAAGTCAAACCCGATGACAAGTCGCTATAATTCTAATCCATTCGTGCCAAAGATACGATAATAGTGAACTTTCTACCACAAATCGTTTAACTTCTATTCTATTGTACATTTATGATAGCGTGTTCGATTGAAAACTGACACCACAAAAATATAAGGCATGGAGCTCCTATGCTCGGCTTATCGTGTGTAATATAAATTAGGAAGGCATGCAACTTTATTCTTAGTGGTGACATAATAAGACATTTAAAAAATGGAAGTAAAAGTTGAATTCATGAATTGAAACGCGATTTATACTTCATAAGTGTAAATTGTTTTCGAAAAAGCCCAAATTTACCTTATCGAGACTACACTTAGATGCGAGTGTGCCGCCCTTAGTGTGGATTCGTACTGGTCTTTCTTTAATTATATATACCTTGCAGTAGTTTCAAATTATTTGCATTCGAGATGACGGGATCTTAGTTGACGGGATGCAGGTATTCTAAAATTGGGGATTTATCTTTCGGGTAAACCTTCTGGATTATTTAGATTTCTAGTTTTGCAAGTCAAATCGTTATCGATGTTGTCTTCTCGATATCGCGGGCTGCAGCACCATTCAGAGCAATGCTTACTCTATTTTTTTCTGCCCGCTCATAATTTTGAGGAAAATTAAACTCAATAAGCGTGATAACAAGATATCTATTTAGAGTGCTATGTACAACATAAACGACGAGAAGCAACACACACAAACACAGAAAACTACATACAACACAAATTTAAACTGGAATTAATGTAAATTATATATTAAACTAGCTGCCATTGATGAGACGCAATATCGACGAAAAAAATCAGTGATTGCGAACTTTTCACGTTGACGCAACATGCGTTCAAAAAATAAAAAATAATATTTATAATTGAAAATATGGGACGAACACCATGTTCTATACACCACAATTGTTTATTAGTCAGGTTCATTTTGCTCTCGGAATGTTTTGAATGTTACAGTGCCACATAGTTTATACATTCCGGATTTCATAACGATTACATATTTTAAATAAATTTTATAAAATCAAATGATGTTGTGCGATGGTTTTATTTGTGACTGTTTTTCACTCGAGTCTTTTGCAAAGGTTTATTAAATTCATTTTACAAATGTAGTCTCTAATGAAGGGTATAAATCGAAAAAATTATTTAAAATTACAAAGCCTCAGTCTTAGTCAAGATTCGAAGATCAATTATTTTTTTTCTTTTCTATGTAGCAATATCCACTGATTAAAGCCAAAGAAAAATAACGCAAGATTTAATCTCATTCAATTCAACTCCGCACAAAGAATACATCAAAGTTCGACCCTAAAGTTTCTACGCGGCTAATTATAACTTAGTTTCAGCTAATATTTAGCCCCCCAAAAAACGGTAGAAGGCCGTACAAAAAAACGGCGGAGGGCCGTACAAAAACTGCGAGGGGCCGTACAAAAACGGTGGAGGGCCGTACAAAAACGGTGGCCGGTCGTACAAGTTGACAGTTTGGGCTACCGCTAATAAAACAACGATCCAATGTACAATTATACTCAACTTATTATTCTCATTCAATATTCTTATGCAGGGATCTCTTACAGTATTTCACGAGCATCTTAACTCTCGGGAGCTTACTCGGCATCGACTGGGGAATTTCCTACTCATACAATTTGCACAGAGAATTACGTACTAACGTTTTGTTACCAAAAGTTACTATTTACTGAAAATAGTTTCAGCGTAAGTTGTAAACTGAACATTGAATGACCTATACTAGTTGATTCGTAATAAAAATTAGATGTTCGTAATGCGAAGCATTCTACCTTGAATACCTACTTAATTACCAGTTACGAAGTAAAAACTATTCAATAAAAACAATGGATCTCATTCTCACGCAGTCAAAAGAAAAAGAAGCCGATTAAACAACTTTCATAAGAAACAATCTTTTAAATCGTTATTAATAAATACTTTTGCCTTCATGGAAACAATAAAGGACGGATAGATGAAGTGAGATATGAAGATACGAGAACAATTATTTCATGCATACATAAATCATCTTAAAATAAAGTTCCAAAACAGACACCAGTGAAAGTTCTTCCGGCAATTGTAATAGTTTTTAAACTTTTTGGAATGGGAATTTTTTTAATAGCAAAAAGAAATGGAAAAAAATCTTCCCTCGCCGTATATTCTTCATTGATAATAACTTATTATTTTTGTATTTGTTTTATTCAGGTATAAACAGAAAATATCGTTGATTTTCCATTTGGAATTCTTGAATAAATAAATATTACAACTGATTAAATTGACGAAAGATACTAATACAATAGCTATATTATTGATGATGCTTATATATGAAAGATATCTTTCATATATTAGCATCATAAAAGCATATTTCATATATAATATATATGAAAGATGATAATAATACTGCTATATAATTCATAAAATAATTTAAATTACTTGTAAATAACAACTACAGTCAACACAACACAATGTTAATTTTGCAAAAATTTTAGAAGTTATGTTTTTCATATTTTCTTTGCTCATAATATCTGAGTTAATTGAACGAGATTGCATCATGATCTTCTCAGAACAGTACAGGGCACTTATTCGAACACATGTTCGTAGAGGTCAAAGCTTTTCTTGAAGTAGGCTTGGGCACCGTGGTTGCAGCCTTGTAATGTGTTTGGCTTGCGCGATCATCATAGATATCACAGAATTTTCATCGTTAGCTGCGGATTTCGATTAAAATTTTCACATATATTTGCGGATTTCGGACCTGCAACTCACTTATCCTATGTTTTTGATCTTAACCATTCGGTTACCCCAAACAAGGGGCGGTTTTATGTCGTATAGACGTTGTAAATAATTCTTTCATTCATATACCACTCGAATCAATTAAAATTTAAGAAGAAATAAAAAAATGAATTAAAAATTCGTCCACAGAAGCTAAAAAGTGGCGATCAAAGGGTCTTTGTCGTCAACGGTTAAAGCTGCCGTTTGCATGTAGCTTGGCTCGGTCTCTTCCAGCTCCAACACTTCCTGAATATTGCGAGGAGGCCGATGTAAATCTTGTGTTGATGTTTCATGACTTGTGTTTGTAATGTTACTTTGCTTCAAAGCAAGACTCCTGTTGTTGGTTTTTAACAGCCCCGAATCGTGTTCGGTGTTAAGCTTTTTGAGTTCAGCTGGTGACAGTTTGACTAATTTATCGGTATTTTCTGAAGCGAAGCCGCCAAAGAAATCGTCCCGGTCGTCGCGATCTGATCTCCTCACAGCAAATTCAGAAAAATCTCTGAAATTTGAGAAGAAATCATCAACGTAATTGTTGGAATGTGGTTGGTTATAATGTCCACCATCATTGTAAGGGTAGCTGTTATCCAGAAAACTGTCATAAGGATGTCGTTGTCCATGACCACCGCCATCTTCTTCGTAAAATGTACCTCCAGATAACACCTCAAAGTTGCCTGAGCCAAGGAGAGAGTTGTCGACCGGAGCGAAGTCGTCCTGTCGGTGTGACTGGCTACCCAGTCTGGGTTTGTCTCTATTTCCATAGAAAGTTTCATGGAAATCTCTGAAGCCGTTGGGCAATGAATTGTAATTGTTGCTGCTACTGCGGCTCTTAGGTCCGCTTGATAATTTCTGGGACGGGTAAAACGGCTGTCGATTAGAAGCACTTCGTGCTGTGTGGGCGGGTCTTGAAAAAGGACTCAAGCCTTCATTGAAGGAGGCAAATATTCTTTGTCCCTCTGCCTTGTAAATGCCATCACGCTGAATGGTGGGGTTTCTTTGGTACTGAACTTCCCCAGACCGGGCCCTGAGTGCTGACTGAGTCGTGGGGTTTTGTTGATAAGGAGAAGCCGTCTGGCTTCTTCTTGGATCTCGAGGGTTGACGGTGCCGTGGTGACTGGTCAAGAAAGACACCGGGGAACTGCCACCGACTTCTCGACTGCTGCGCTCGCCGAAGGAGGGGTAGTTGAAAACAGGAAATGATTCGAAGGGCGCCAGTGGTTGCTGATGACGATTAGATCCGCTAGGATTAACGTCATGTCCTCCACGACCGAAAGGACTTGAGAGGCCTTGCGCTGACCTCTTCTTTCGCTTACCACCTACTGCAAAATCCTAAAAAAGGACAAAATGTTAAACCCATCGATGAGCCATGGCCCTTCTGGTTGTGTGATGTTAGCGACTTCATACCTTGTTTGAAACAGAGAATTTCACGCACCAATGAAATTGTAAAGTATGACAGACATAATGAAAACTTGGCATTTAGTGGGGACTTGCTGAGCGTGTAAACTGTGATTTGACTCACATGACGGACTGGGAAGTTATCTGGTCCGATAGCAGGCTGCTGGAAGTGTTCCTCCGCCACATCGACCACCGGCACCTGGAAGTGCGGGATGAACTCGGACGCTGTGGGTAAAATAAATTAATAAATTAGTGAAGGCTCATGCAGTGATGGAACTGATGTTAGCGCGAGGTTTATCTTCTTAGCAAAACTTGCTTTTAGAGAGTATATTACGAAGAGATTTTTGCGGGGATTGTTTTGGATCTTTGTTATATTAGTTGTAAATTTAATTTTCTTCGAAACAATTGCGGGAATAAATTACAAGTGAATAGATCAATCTAAATGGTATAATTTTGATTTATCATTGGATGGAATAGAAAAGAGCTGTAATATTCTGTTTGGCAAGAACAAGAAATATCACCAAATGTTGCGTCAACACATCACATGTAATTTTTATTCTGTTTAAAGTCCAAGCGAACGCTAAAGTTTTCTGGTCAACTAATTTCTTTCTGATTATTAATAACTAAAATTAGAAAAAATCCCAACAAAGAACCCACAGTTCAAGTGAACGCTGAGAAAAACCGCTTGCTTTCTAATTATTTCATAGCTAAATTTAGAAAATAATGACGTGATTATTGTATAGCTCAAGTGAGGGTTTAGCTTTTTGTTGTTCTTCAAGAAACTCCTTTAGAACTAGCGAGGTGCTAAATATTAAATACTCTATGTAGAAGAGATATACTATGTACGATATACTAAGAGTACGAAGAGTAAGTACGATGAGATATCTATAAAATCATACTATACTACAGTATGTCTCTGTACGAGATATAGTCTATGTAGTACGATGAGATATACTATGAAAACATACTATACTATGTCTCTGTACGAGATATAGTCTATGTAGTACGATGAGATATAATATGAAAACATACTATACTATGTCTCTGTACCGAGATATACTCTATGTAGAAGAGATATACTATGTACGCTATACGAAGAGTAAGTACGATGTACAAGATATACTCCATGTAGCAGACCTTGCACATGAGCCTCGTCCTGCATGGGCTCAAAGCCCCCAAGTGATGCAAAGTTGGGCAAGGGGCGCTGCTCGCTCATGAAACCGACGCTCGCATCTTTAGCCAGGGGGGTGTCTATAAAATAAATAATTATTATTATAATAACAAATAATTACACAATTATCTGAATAATTATCCGAGTAATTACACCGTGTACTCTAAACTATACAAAAGCAGCAAAGGTAAAACAAATCCGTAGCATCAGATAAAAGAGTTTGTATTGAAAGCTTGACAGAATATTGAGTAAATAACTACACAATTATCTGAATAATTATCTGAGTAATTATATAACTATATAATAACTATTTAGTTATTATATAGTTATATATAGTTATTTATAACTAAACTATACAAAAGCAGCAAAGGTAAAACAAATCCGTAGCATCAGATAAAAGAGTTTTTATTGAAAGCTTAACATAATATTAATTAAAGATTATAATATTCAGAATAAATAAGATTATTACAATAAAGATTATCAAAGATAATCGTTAATATTCTACCTCAACACACTACATGATGAGTGTAAGTGACATATAATCTTATAATCAAGCATACCAAATCCATTGCAGAATGCTTCGATGAATAGAAAAATCAAATGCACGAGCATTAAAGATGCATTACTTTTAGTAAGATCCATTCTGATAATCAAATCAAGAGAGTTTTAATTACATCATCTTACTTTCTAAAGTTAAATGTTTATTGTTAAATCACTCTGTGACCTCATTGAAGTAATTCTATGCCTGCTTGCTGGTATCTATAATGAACACATGCATGTATCATGTCGTGTCACAAAGCCGAGACATGCAATACATGCGAAGTGAAGGTTAATTAAATTACGGCGAAACAGATTAAATATATACTCTAGTAATTTCTTTATTTCAGATGTTGGAAGAGACCAAAGTTATCCCAAATCTTCCTGCAGGTTGCGATACTAAAGACATGCATAAAGGCCGAAACTTGCAATAGTGAGTATAAATTTGAGGCTACTCAGAGACTTTAAAGTGGTGACCGAAAAATTACGGTTTGCTGAATCAAAATAAAGGTAATGCTAATTTTACTATAGTTTTGACTTGTACATTTAACAGTCCAAGTAGGAATAGTACTGCTTGTGTTGAAGAAATCGCCTTTTTATGAAAAACACACTGTATTTCCGCTAAGCAAGTACATCTCTTTTCAGTCAACCGGTTCCGAGCCTAATGATATGCATGAGAATAATTTGTCAGTCAAGAGAGAGATGAAATGATGTGCAAAGAAGAAGCAATATCGAATGCAAGCAATGTGGACGAGTTTTGTCGCCAATGCAGTCTGTGATTTAATTTAGTTGAAGAAAAATCACGTCGTTGGAAAAATACGGTTAATTCAAGGAGGAGTGAAGCCGAATGACGTAAGTTGCATTAGTTCTGTAGACTTTGTACACAGATGTAGAAAGTTCATGCCCAACTCACCGAACGATTCCGAGAACAACAGACTCGATATCTCGTTAGCAAATGGTGAGTCAGCTCCAGAGGTATGGTCAGTATCTCTTTTGCTTCGGTTAGGCCGATTCTTCGTCTGCGATTGAGAGTTTTCTTTCTTGTTCTTGCGTACGCGCCGCCGATTATTCCTAAGGCCACCAACTTTGACAATCGAGAAGCCAGGTGCGACACTCGGAACTGGAGCGGGTACATACGCGGTCGCTGATTTAACGTTAGGTTCTGAAGATCTTCCATCAGATTCTTTCTTACGACGCACTGGGCCATTGAAGAGTAATGGCCTAGGATGAAATCCCGCCAGATGTGGTCGGAAAGACGGATGAGCGAACCGAGGATGAACCATGGGCATATGTGGACCAAACACGCCCACATGAGGTCTCATTGTTAGAGGATGATGATGAGGGTGATTCATAGTATGAGGAATAGGCCTGGAATATTGAGGTTGTTTCAAGAGCTGTTGAGAATGCTGGACATGGATGGGGGAAGTCATGATCTGGTGATGATTATTAATGACTTTTTCAGAGTTTTGGAGTTGATGCTTTTGTTCCGCAATAGGGTCTGTTGAAATCAAAATTTCTTCTTCAAAAACTTGTGGGGGAGTAGGAGAAGTATCAACCAAGCTTTGAATGTCTTGAGATTTTCCATGAATTATGTCTAATGAATTGTCAACATCTGTCAAACCAAAGAAACTTTCTTCGAAATCTGTTTGGAAGTTTTTTGCGAAATTCAGCTCAGGAAACGATGGAAATTCGGACGGAAAATTAGAGAGTTCAATTCCGGGTTCGGCTCTGAAATCAGCTTCTAATTGTTGACCATGATTTCCTCTACCTTTGCTGCCGCCCAGGCCTTTCCCAGCTTGGACCATCTCTCTCTTCTGCACGTTGCTGAATGGAATAGGCGTACTGGCCAAATTGTTAGCGTGGGCTCCCAGGTTATCAACGTGGGTTCGCTGTGACGATACACTCTTGCCACCTCCCGAAAATCCATTTTGTTGATGGAGCTGTTTCTCATACTTTAAACCATTCACTTCCTCATTGTGCATCCGTATGAGTTCTTCTATTTGGCGTAGGCGCTTCTGATTGCCATAGCCATGATCCACTACCGGTAAGTCGTCCAAATTGACTTCGACGATAGGACTTTGTTCTTTGCCCTCGAGGATGAGTTCGTTGAGTATGACTGCTGGAGATGAGGTCTCGATTGGTGGCTGCCCTCTGGGTTTATGGGTGACAAAGTTGTAGTTGTGATCCAACACTGGAACTTGTGGCACATCGGTGATGTGATTGGGAACGTCATTTATGACCGGTGCGTCGGCAATCAACTGAGTTTGGATGGGTGAGAGCGTTCGAGGGGTGTTGACCGTATTTTTTAGTATTTGGTGGCCCCGCAGAGGTCTCATCGCATGCTGGGGGATATTACCGTTCTTAGGACCAGTCATTGCGTTGTTTGGAATGCGAATAGGGGTTAGGCGAATAATAGAACGATGTCCTGGTGACTTTTTCGCTCTCTGAGGACTCTGAACGATACGTTCCACACGTTTAGCTTCAGCAGTGTCCACTGTATCTTCGAGTTTGTCATCTACACTTCTTTTGTGTATCTTTTTAGATGGAGTACGTACCCCGGGATGTTGAGGTAGGATTAAATACGATGGTACAGCAGGAACCGCCACTGGGAAAGGTAAACTCTGTCTTGCATCAAATCGGTTAGGGTCTTGGTGACCATAATTGTTTAACGTAGGAGAATCAATTCGGTCTTCGGAACCAAAACCAAATAGTTCAGCAAGCTCACTTAAACTGGACGGAATTCGTTCTCTGAATCGGTAGAACATATTTCCTATTGCCGCTGTGTACGATGAGTCTGTGTTATGCTGCCTGCCCGTGTCCTTTGCAATTGAATTAATCTGTTCGAAGTCACCCACAGAATGAATCGAATTTTGATCACTATTTAAATCCCTTTTGACGCGCTGAGAGTCAAACTGCTCGCTGAACACGCCATTTTGAAAAGAAAAAGACGACTGAATTTCTGTCGGGTTTCTGTGAGGGCTATTAAAATTCTGCCGAATGGCAGCTCGATTCTGGGTCGACCTTATGGGTGGGTCAACAATGCGGAAACCCCCTTCATCTTTTGGCTCGTTCAAGTGTGAACTCTGGAAACGATGGGAATCATGCCCATTTGAAAACCCCGGTCGGGAGCCAGCAGAAGAAATAAATCCTGTAGGTCTTTGATGACTGGACTGCTTTGAAGAAGATCTAAATCCATGAGACTCTGGGCTAAACTGCTGCTGCCCGTTTTCTCGCTGCGGTCTATTCAGTTTGATTCGAGAGTTAACGCCATCAGCGGAGGCAGTTGCTGAAAAAGTAGTTGATGGAGATTCAATGAGCTCCTGACGTAGGGACTGACGCACGGGACGCGATAAGCTGTTGCGTCCCAAGAACGCAGTCATTGACGTGACCACAGGACCCGTGTAGGGTGCACGTATCATGTCGTCGATCGTTTGGATGAGGTTACGATGAGGAGATCTCGGCTCTGCACCTTCATTTGGACGAGTCAGAGAACATGTCGGTCTTCCAAATTCCAGGTAACGTCAACCATGGTAATGTTGAATTAGAAACTGTTAAACCTTTAAAAGTTTGTATTACTGTAAGTTCGTAAAACGTCAATATCTGGAATAATCGTCTACTTCATCTATTACAATTGTGCACCAAACAGATCTAAGAGTACTACTTTGCTACCATATTGGAATGAAGTCAAAATACCAGCGCGAGATATATTTCTAACAGTTGATGAGATTTAATCTAATTCTAGTAAAAAATCAAATGAATATTAATGTACCAAGTTCAAATTTTAAGGAACAAAGTGCGTACAAGTTTTATGTGCCGTGTCAACATTTAAATATTTAATCGTTACGCACCGGAATAGTGCAATATTACTGTACGTCTACAAATGTGAAGCCACTACTTTACAAATAAACTACGTATACGAAGGAAGGGCAGTTCCAGTTACCTAATTGACAAACTATCAAACTCGAAATGAACCATGACGTTCTTATTCGAGGTTATGAGAATCAAATCCAGCATTTAGGATATTTTATTTATATGTGGATGCTATCCTCCGAATTGAGTGAGCTAGAATTTGGTATCGTTAGGCATTCTGGAGGAGCGCTTCCGTACGTCTAGCTAAACAACTCATGAAGGAATGTGATACCAAACATTTAACTACTTGACTATTAATTATCATAATAATATCCATCATAAATAATTGATGAACTAATGAACCGAAGTCGTTCCCTAACACCTACTGACGAGTTTATTAAAGTTTGCATGCAATTTGCAACATATCAAGCAATATAGGGACCCAATAGTTCATCTTACCAGAGGGTGAGGCTTGCCGCTGCCTGCGCGAAGAAGCAGGTGGCAGCACTCCTGCTGCAGATCCTGCTCTATTTGCCCCTGCTGGATCTTCACCTGTCGTACCTCCTGTAGCTCCTTCTGCCCTGCCTTCTGTAGCTCTTTGTTGTCTTAGGGACGCCCCAGCTACGATGTCGCGTCTGAATCGTATCAACGAAGAAGTAAGCGAGTACTAAATCATCTTCACTTAAAATACCTTACGTATGCAAAAATAAGTATAAAATATGAAGTGCAAGAGATAATCGAAGAGGACGCATTTTAATAGGAAGGATTGCTATCACATAGATCGACATCTTCCATAAAGCCATCATAACAGGACATAGCAATGACAGTAAGACATAGTCATAAAAAATAAGACATAGCCATGACAATAAGACATAGCCATGACAATAAGACATAGCCATGACAATAAGACACAGCCATGACAATAAGACATAGCCATGACAATAAGACAAAGTCATAGAAAATAAGACATAGCCATGACAATAAGACGCAGCCATGACAATAAGACATCGCCATGACAATAAGACATAGTCATAAAAAATAAGACGTAGCCATGACAATAAAAGAAATAAGACATAAAAAAATAAGACATAGCCATGGCAAGAAGTCCTCCAAGTCATAAGACGCGTTTTTCTGTCGCACGCCGGCGCAGGAAAGTGGCTGACACTTCGCTAGTCATGCTTTGCATTTTTTGTGCGTCATCATACCGGAGAAAGTCCATTGAAATCACCGCGGTAAAGACAACTAAGGTGAAGGGGAAATAAATACAGGCTCAAGTTTCGAATAATAATCAATTGTATAACTTTGCTCGATTGTATAATAGTTCGTCATTAAAGCATCACATTATAGAATCATTATAGCATCACGTTATAGAATCACTATAGCATCACGTTATAGAATCTTTATAGCAACAATACATCACTTGAGTACAACAAAACTAGAAGATCAATTGAAGGGGAAAATAGATAACTAAGCTAATTTGGCCGAGTTTTTACAGTGAACAAAGCGTTGAAATTTATCAAAAAAATGTTCAATATATTTCCAAACTAATGAGAGTTGTTCGTAAACATGTGTGTAGATATTTCCAAATTGAATAATAAACTATTTCGTTGTGAGGATTAAATAGTTTAAACTAATTCCTTAACAATGATTATTCTAAGTTGATATTATAATTACAGTTACTAAGCATTCATCAGAGCACAAAATTCAGAAACAATTTAACTTTACCAAACTAAGACAATAAAAGCTAAAATTTATTTTGCGTAAATTTGAAGAAATCAAAAGTTGATTGATTTAGGAGACAGTCTGAAAAAATTGAACTTTACCAAACTAAGACAATAAAAACTAAAATTTATTCTGCGCAAATTTGAAGAAATTAAAAGTTGATTGATTTAGGAGACAGTCTGACCACTCACCTGCCTGGTCCCCGCCCGTCATCTGAAATGGAGAACAATCCCAAATTAATAAGAAATTACTACATTAGGAAAAATTAAAATTAAAGGAACACGTTAGACTGCAGAAGAACATCACTTGATCTCAGAGACGAACATCGAGAACTACAAGATCACATCATTTATAATATATTCTATAAGTGTTGATGCTAAACCATCAGATGAATGAGTTCATCAACACTGCGTTACAAATAAGATGTCATTAAAAATTCATGGTCATCAATTTAATTCATACACAATATGACGATAACTAAGAAATGATTTGAACATTGCTTATCAGGTATAATGACCTCAATTTATCAATATAGAAATATCCTATATTGAGATACACATTGCACTGGTGCACAGGCTCGACCAGTGTTTGTAAAATACGAATTTATTTCAATCCTCGAGCGAAATGAGATCATAACAGCGTTATTCCTCTCACCACCGTACGCGCTGAACGACGCACGATTACGCAGTATACGCAGGCGTACAATAAGTAATCGGGAAAGCTGACGCGTAAACGTATGCACCATATGGTAGACGAAGCAAGTAAAAGCGTTATTGAGAAATGCAGTCTCCTCTGCAAGCTTTAAGTTGTCAAGTTGTCAGGGAGAATTCGGTCCGTGGACTAATGATATTCCTACCCGAATTGTAAATCAGGCTGCAAGTGCAATCTATAAAGAGCGAACGCAAGAAAGTAATCTATTAGCTGTTCAACTTTCATTCCTGCCTTGAAACATTTCCAATACAAGGGGAAACAAATTTAAAACTGAAAGTTAGCATTTGGCAGCGTAACGAAAAATGTTATTAAATGCTTTCACCAATTCTTGAAATTTAACAGGGTAACATAAAAAACTTTTTAAAGTAAACATTTATTGAATCGATCAAATAACAAAACAAGTAAGGAAAACAGTGTCCACAATCGCATATGTTTACAACGCACTATAACCGCTGCACCTTATATGAACAAGAATACAGAGACAGCTCTGTACAACTCTCTTTATTTTAGCATATAATCTTCGGGTCAATTTTATTGATAACAGATAACAAATATTTCCGTTTAACCCCTGATTCCTATTGCCTATTCCAGGATTAATTTGCGTTAGTAATCTTGTTCAGGGATAAGCAAGACAATTCCTTTCTCCCTGAGATACGGTCGAGCTAGCTCCTACTTTCTTTAAAACTTTCTATTTACGAACTGATGAGACACTATAGCAAAAAGTGCGTTATGTTTCATTCCAGCAAATACATAGGGGCAATGAGCGAGCCTCAAGTTTATATTAGAGTGAAGCGAATAGACTATAGATAGTGTATGGCCATCACAGTAAATGAGTGTGATGACAGGAGTGCGTAGGATATCGTCATCGCAATTAAAGAGAGTGATAATATGCAGGGGTTAGATAGTGCATTGTCAGCACAATCAAATAGAGTGAAAAGTTGGTGGTGTATCATCGTCACAAAAAAAGTAATAACAAGATTGAATATCACATTGTCATCACAGTCAAACTGGGCGATTGCTCTTAAACCAGACGCAATACACTATTGCTAGATGAACCAAATGAAATGATTGTGAATTATCAGTGGGATTCAACCTAGCCTGAGTTACACGTAATTTACACATTTAGCAGACGCTGATGGCTCACGCGGCGTTGCAGTCAAAGTAAACGCACAGGCACGACTTGATAAACACGCTGGAAATAGAATAATATAAAAGAAAATCCATTATTTTCGGACTTTCATGAGTATTAACAGCGTGAGATCAATTTCTGGACAGATTTAAATCATAAAAGAAATATTGGCTTCATACATAGTTCATTAAAACTGATAGATGATGTAGAGCTGTTAGGAGGCTATTGCACCAACTGCTGGTCTCACGCAAGATGTAGAGAGAAAGCTGTTCTTCTCATGAGGGTGGAGGGGAAGTTTTCTAATTGCTTCAAGCAAATCAATTAGCGACTCTCAGATGATTTATGGCACTTGCCAAACGATTGCACATAAAATATGATTAGAAAATGCTATATAATCAGTTCCCATAATTAATTTATGCAAATCTGATGGTTTTAATTACATATATTAGAGTAGTCGTTGTTTAATGAATGATAAATACACTTCGTACATTTATGGATTTTTAACGTCATTGCATGAGAGGCGGAATGGCCAGAGCAGCTATGGCGCTAGTGAGTTATTGTTATTATTTTGCGACATTATAGTCGTAACATGTTACAGTCGTGACATGTTACAGTCGTGACATGTTACAGTCGTGACATGTTGCAGTCGTGACATGTTACAGTCATGACAGGTTACAGTCGTGACATGTTACAGTCGAAACATGTTACAGTCGTGACATGTTACAGTCGTGACATGTTACAGTCGTGACATGTTACAGTCGTGACATGTTGCAGTCGTGACATGTTGCAGTCGTGACATGTTACAGTCGGGACATGTTACAGTCGTGACATGTTACAGTCGTGACATGATACAGTCGTGACATGTTACAGTCGTGACATGTTACAGTCCTGACATGTTGCAGTCGTGACATGTTACAGTCGTGACATGTTACAGTCTTGACATGTTACAGTCGTGACATGTTACAGTGACATGTTGCAGTCGTGACATGTTACAGTCGTGACATGTTATTACAAGGCTGCAAGCACGGTGTCCAAGCCTACTACAAGAAAAGCTTTGACCTCTACGAACATGTGTTCGAATAAGTGCCCGGTAGTGTTCTGAGATGATCATGATGCAATATTGTTCAATTAACTCGGATATTATGAGACAAGAAAATATGAAAGAACGAAACATCCAAAATTTTATGAAGGTTTTTTTTTTAATTCTAAAAAATAATTTTATGGAGAATATAGCAGTATTAGTATTACTAGCATCTATCATCAATTTAATCAGTTTTAATATGGATATATTCAAGAATTTCAAATGGAAAATCAATTATATTTTCTGTTTATACCTGAATGAAACAAATACAAAAATACTTAGTTATTATCGATGTGGAATATACGGCTAGAGAAGATGTTTTTTCCATTTCTAGTTGCAATTAAAAAAATTCCTCACAGATTCATTCCAAGAAGTTTAAAAAGTGTTACAATTGCCGGAAAAACTTTCACTGGTGTCTGCTTTGAAACTTTATTTTAAGATGATTTATGTATCCATGAAATAATTGTTCTCGTATCTTCATATCTCACTTCATCTATCCGTCCTTTATTGTTTCCATGAATTTAAAAAAATATTCTCCAAATTTTTTTATTATATTAAAATTTTATAAATTTTCAAAATTATTTATTCTGTCAACTGATTAATGCATTGTCTCTGACTTTATGGAATTGTGCAAAATTTCAGATCGATTGGACAGGTCAAATTGTGTCATATGTGGATTGTAAGATTTGTAGCAGGCAAAATTACTTTTTTAATAATGAAATTTTTTTATTTATAAAATTATTTATTCTGTCAATTGATTCATGCATTGTCTCCAACTTTACGCTGGTGTGCAAAATTCCAGATCGATTCGACAGTTAGAAGTGTGTCAAATATAGATAATAAGATTTGTAGCTGACAAATATTATTTTTAATTTTTTTAATAATAAAAAAATCTAATTTTTAAAATCATTTATTTGTCAATTGATTCATGCATTGTCTCCAACTTTATGCAAGTGTGCCAAATTTCAGATCGATTGGACAGGTAGAAG